AAAAAAATAAGCATTGTGTATTTTCTTTAAACCAGAAAATGAATATTTTACTTAAATTATACAGGCATAAATGCCCTGAAAGTACATGTAGTACAAGAAAGCATGACAAGCAAGTCTAGGCAGATATAATCATGCCAGAGCGAATAATTAACTTTTTTTCCATTTAATTTAAGAAATTTCTGGGCACAAAGAAAGTCCTCTTTGTCATCTTGCTTGCACATGGTCCGTTTCACCTATTTCACAGTTCAGGGGCAAATCATTAAACAGTAATTATTACACTACTGTAAACATTTGATTCAAATCTGAATCCAACCAGTGTTCTTGGCTTCTTTTGGTGGAGGTATGCAGTCTCAAAACCTTTTTTTGTTTTTACCTTTTCTAACGACTACAACTACACGAGCAGAGTTGATGTATAAAATATCTGTCCAAACAAGGCAGGTAAATCTTTTTAGAAGTTTGTATATCGACAGTGGTTACTACAGTATTTGTACTTTATCTGCTTATGTAATAACACAAATGCAACCATTATTCATAAGAAATCAGATTTATCATCCTCTGTGTGCTGTAAACAAAACAAAAATTCCTGCAGCTGTTTGTATCCCGTCTTGCCTCCTGTGCACTCTACCAGGTGCTGTGCTTGGGAGTCTTTATATTTGTGAGATTGTTTCCCTAATTCCCATGCAATTAATTTCCTTCTGTGATGAGCATTAGTAAGAGTGATACTGTGAGCACAGTCCAAACATCCTCCAATGTTTCTGTATCTAAATGGCTTCTGTTTGGTTACCACTCTGTGGTTGTAGCACAACTTGGATCTTTCTCATGAAAGCTTATTTCTAAGAAGCAGTTACCTGTTAGCAATATAGGCTACTGTGCAACACAGGCCAAGTATTTTCAAACATTTTAGTTGGATTAATTTAAAAATGCTGCAAGGACCATGTGCTTAGTCTTAAAAATATTATTTTATAAATAAGATCTTTGTTTGGATGAAAAAGACATTCTAGTGAAGATAATCTTGACATTTTTATATTAAGATTTTACATTTGTGTTTGTAACCAAATAAATGGGAGTACAACAAATCTTTTTTTTTACCTGTTCTACAGAATTTAAGAATAGTTTTATTTAATTTAAATAAATCGCAGAAAAATATTCAATCTGGTGTGGATATATTGTAAAGTAATATCTTCAGTTACTTTTATAACCAAACCCTCAAATTGCTGAATTTTCGGGGTGGTGGCGGTTAAAATAAAATTTTAAATGCAATGCGACATGGATTTGAACGATTCTGAAACAATGTTCTTTTAAATGTCATATTGTTGTTGTTACTTTATTGACATCAAAATGAAAAACGCAAAAAAAGTTGAACTCTGAAGGGCGGAAGTGCAACACCTGGTCAGTTTTTAGCGTTCACATAACAGAGATACGAGAAGGCCGAGCGAGGTGTGCAACTGGCACTTTATACATTAAACATATGGGTATTTCAGCTTTTTCAAAGTTGAAAATAAAAAGAACCCAGACGAGAGCCAAACTGTATGCAAGTTAAACTAAACTGAAATAATTTGGAATCATGACCACTGAGCAAGCAATGTCAAGTTTCCACCCAAATGAAAAGTTGAACCATTGATCCATCAATTATCTTTACCTGCTTTTTCTTTTTCGGGTTGTGGCGGTCACTGGTGTCCATCTCCATCAGTCACTGTGCGAGAGGCAGGGTACACCCTGGACGGGTCCCAAGTCCATCACAGGGACACATAACGAGACAAACCATTCACTCACACCTAGGGACAATTTAGAGTTACCAATCAGTCTAACATGCTTGTTTTTGGTCTGAGGGAGGAAACTGGAGTACCTGGAGAAAACCCACACAGCACTGAGAGAACATGCAAACTCTACTCAGAAAGCCCCCCCGCCGCGATTACACCCTGTGTACACAATTTCGTTCAAAATAAACTTTGACTTGATTTTAAAGAGCCCATGACATGCATATTTTTCAAAAACAAAAACTGGATGTAATCATCCATATATTGAAGAAATTTGGCATAATACATTACATAATACAGCTAAAGTGGCATAAGAAGTGACATCAAAGGAGAACTATTTAAAAAGTGAACTGGTCTTTTTTTTTTTTTTTTTTTTACTTTGACTCCTCTTTGTCTCTGACGGTGAACTAAAATCTAATGAACCATCAGATTTTTCACTGTATTGTTAGCCATTGTAGCAGTGCTCTTATTTACATTCAGGTGTTCCCCTTTGTTGTCACTTCCTCTTACTGCACATGGAAAATATCTCAGCTGATCATCTCAGCAGTGTGAAATTTTTTTATTGCAATACATTATTAATATTATCTTTTCAATAATGCATTCATATTTACCGGTATTACAAAATTTGATGTCACAGGGATTTTAAAGCAGCTGTTTAATTGTTCAGAATGTCATTTACAAGCATTTTTCTACTAGAGCTGCTGGTACAGATTTTTATTTTATTTTATTTATTTATAGTTTTAGATTTAATAATTTTTCATATTGTTTAAACTCACTTTTGTTGCAGTGAGGACTGACATTTTTAAATATAGAAAGTTGTTTTAAAAAAAAAAAAAAGCTAAAATCCACAAGTAATATTTGTTGTAAAAGCTGTGATATTGGTACAGCAGTTTTTTTTTTTTGGGGGGGGGGGGTTTAAGAATACTTCAAATTACTTTGATTATTTTTTAAAGATCAAAAAGAGTACTTTTTCAAGCAAAGTATTTGTAACAATCCGAAAGTCTTAAGTAGTCACACATGGGAGTTGAGCTGTGTAGAAAGATGCATCAATAAGTTTGATCTCATCACAGCCCATTGCATTTGACTAAAGATTCTCACCGCTACTGGTTTGTAATGCAACTCGTCTGTATTTTTCCCTCAGATCATCAGAAGCTTGAGAGAGAAGCTCGTATCTGCCGTCTCCTGAAGCACCCCAACATCGGTGAGTTTCATTCTGCGTGACCACATTGTTGTTTGCTATTGCCCATGATATCCTTGAAATGGATGTAGAATTTCTAAAACGTTATACTGAATAAAAATGTTGGCTGAGGAAACATGGTCAAAAATTTAAAAGTTACCGGTAGTCATTTTCTTGCACATTTTTTGTACCCCGTGATTGGCTTTCTACCCTGATCTGTTTACAAAAAAAATGGAAACTTTTATTCAAGAATGGATCCTATAAGATTTGGTTTTTAACAAACAAGTTTTATTACTTCAAGTTACTGAACTCTGTAGTTAAACTAGAGAAACTGGTCATACAATCTTAGATATTAGAATATCCTACATGCGGCCTGCCAACATTATATATTTTCTTATACCTCGTAGAGATTAGAATCCTCAATAGAGAACTGATGAGATTCACAGAGATGCCAAGCACCAAAATAGTTTATGTAAATGGAAAGATAAATGGAAGTTTGCGTTACAAACCAGTTCATACATGTCTGTCTTTCTGGCATCACACAGCAAATTTTGCATTGCAGACTTTAAGCTTTTCAAATTAAACATAAAATTAAAAGGCATTAAATACTAACAATCGCATAACCAGAAGGAATGCTGCTTTGCCATGTGTAGCTGGTGGTACAACGTTTTGGTTTCTCTGTTTGATATAGGAAACTTAATAGCTTTTTTAAGTCTCCTCATTTGATGTTGAACCACAATGATAGGAAATGGGTGTCAAAGCTGAGAATGATTTGAGGATGTGTCATTGTGCTTTTGTTTTTTCCATCCCTAGAGTTAGCAGTAGTATAGGAAGCACTTTATCACAATGGTTCATTAAACTAACTAAATTGCCTCGACCTTGATGCAAAGGTTGACTCGCACAAAACCTAAATTTGTACAGTTGATTTAATGGATCCCAACTGGTTCCCAATCTTTGCACATTTTGTTCTTAATTATCAAACAAGTAATTTGTTGCCAGTTCTTTTGGTAACTGTGAAGACAACTTCTGCTCATATGCTTGAAAATGAATGGCAGTGACATCATCAACACCTTCTGGAAAAATTCAGAGAATCACTTTTCAGAGCCCTTTTGCTCCAAATAGCTGCATAACGTCTTTCTGTTTGGGGAAAAACACAAAATCCATTTGCTTTACAAATTATTTTAATTTCATTAGGAGTTGCAGAGGAATGTTGCCTGGAGCTGATCTAGTTTCGTTATCATTCAAGAGGTGGGGTACACCCAGGACAGGTCACCAAACCACCACAGGGCCACAGATGCACATGATAAACAATCATACAAATGCACTCAAAGGTCAAGTAATCCATTTTAAGTGTGGGGTTGTTCAGGAAGGTGGAATACCCAGAGAGAACTTACATATGTAAACCCAGACAAGCCCAGAGCAGAGATTCAAATTATAAGTGAAGATGTGAGGTGAATGTGCCACTACTCCACTGTGCTGCCCAGTTACCGTAGTTTGATATTCTTTAAATTGCTTACTTATGTTTCACGTGACTCGGAAGAATTATGTGAAATGTGTTCATGCAAGTCTGTTTAGACATGAGAACTTTGTCTTTCTTGTAGGAATGGGCATTTCAAGCATCAATGCCCACATATTTCATTTTGAGAAATCTGTAAAATTCACGTTATATTAATTGATGGCCATCTTGAATTGGTCAATCAGTTCTAGATGTTGCATCAAATGAAGACTTTCCGTGAGTTTTATTGAAGTCCATTCAGTGGTTTGAGATCTGATTTGCACACAAAAAATAGAATAAGTTCATGCTCAAGTTTTAAGCAAAGATCCTTTGATGTGGACCTCTCAGAGTATGTGTTGGGGATGGCTGTTGACCACTTTCTATCTTTGATGATCATGGGATTATTGTATGCCTTCCTCTGTGTTGCCACAGTGTTTTTGGTGGCTTAAATGTCCAATCCTGGAGTTGCATGCATTGCACTTGTACACAGGCTCAGCCCTAGTGGAGGTGCTGCACTCCTTCTTGCAAGCATGCTTTGCTTTAGCTGCTAACCTGTGCATGTAGTGTGATGGTGAATGGCATTTCTCCACTTTGAGTGATCTGCTGCAAGGTCTTCCCAAGAGACGGTGTCAATACCTGCCACTTTCATGTCATGCTTCCAGATGTCTTTGTAGCACAGGACCGGGTGGCCTTTGACCCTTTGGACAGTTGTCAGCTCATCATACAGGATGCCTTTTGGTGTGTGCCCATCATCCATACGGTGCATATGACCCAACTGGTGCAGATAGTGCCGTCTAATAATTGTGTACATGCTGGGAAGGCCAGCACGAGAAAGAACCTCAGTGTTGGGCACTTTGTCTTGTCAGGAAATGTGCAGGTAGTGGCAGAGGCAGTGCAGGTAAAAGGTGTTGGAGCTTATTTTCCTGATGGGCATAGGTAGTTCAGCTTTCACTACTATACAACAGTGTACTGAGGACACGAGCATTGTAGACTGCCAACGTAGTCTTCATAAAGAGCTTGGAGTTCTCCCAGATGCGTAAAGTGAGGCGAGCAAGTGTTGTAGTAGGCTTCCCTATTCGCTTGTTGATCTCTGCATCTAGAGAGAGGTTGTCTGTGATGGTGGAGCCCATGTACGTGAACTGGTGGACAACCTCCAGTTCATAGTCATCAGTGGTGATGAGTGGGGGAGACGGAAGAGTCAGTGTCCTGGCCCATCAAGTTCGCCTTCTTCAGGTTGATGGTGAGTCGAAAGAGTTTTCAGGCCTCAGTGAACTGAGCCAGCAGGATCTGGAGCTGCTGTTGCCTATGGGTGGCAACTGTTGCATCATCTGCAAACATGTCTCTGATGACGGTCTCTCTTACCTTGGTCCTGGCTCGGAGCTGGGCCGGATTGAAGAGTTTGCCATCTGACCTGGTGCTCAACGTCAGAATCACCTTCTGTAGCGGTGTAAAATGCATGTTGCAGGAGAAGAGTGAAAACGATCCCCAAGAGTGTGGGTGTTTTTTTGCTCTGCTAAAAATGTTGAAGCACTCTGAACAGCTGCCATTGAACTGCATTGTTCCCTTTATGTTTTCATAGAAGAACTGGATTATACTGTGCAGTTTGGGTGGGCAGCCAATCTTGGGCATAATCTGGAAGAGTCCTTCACCTTGGTCAGCTAGATGAAGGCCATGTAGAGGGGCTTTGCTGCTCTCAACATTTCTTCTGTAACTGGCAAAGGGAGAAGATCATGTCCAAGGTTGACCTGTGGGCATGAAAGCTGCACTGTGACTCTGGGTAGACCAGTTCAACCAGCTTCTGCAGGTGAACCAGTAACCCCTTGGCAAAGGCCTTGCCAACTATATTCAGAATGGAGATCACCCTGTAGCTGTTGCAGTCACTCTTTATTGCCTTTGTTCTTGTAGAGGGAGATGATTCTGGCGTCTCACATGTCCTATGGTATGGCGTCTTACTGCCAGCACAGTAGCTCCAGAAGTGTTGTCTTGTTTTGGTTGAGGAAGTAGGGTGGTATGGCTTCACTGCCTGGGGCCTTTTTTGAGGCCAGGCTAACATTTCTACTTGGCTAGTCGGCTAGAGCAGGTCGTTTGGCTGCTATGACGGGGTCAGCTCACTAGACTTGGCTTCAAACCAGTGATTTGTTTTTGTAGCTTTCTTCCCAAAGGTAGCCAGAGCTGTGTGGTGGATTACTGTCCGCAACTGCTCCCACTTTTCTATGGCTGTGTTGTTTCCAGGCACAGAGGCATGTAGTTCCTTCTCGAAGGACTCTGGAAACTGCTCTTGGAGATCAGGATGCTGCATATTGCTGACTGTGATTCAGGGGGTTCCCTTCTGCTTAGCACAGTGGAACTTCCTGGTATGTATGCATATCTTGCAGTATACAATCGAGTGGTTAATGTCACAGTCAGTGCTGTGAGAAGAGAGTGAGACCAGAACACAATTGAGAAAGGAAGATCTGATCAGGATCAAGTCCAGCTGTTGCCATTGTTTGGAATGAGGATGTCTCCAGGAAACCTTGTGCTGTGGTTTGGTGTCAAAGTACATGTTTGTGACGCACAGGTTGTTGAAGGTGTGCTAAGATTCATAAATGGCTGTAACTACCGTACCCACCACTGCACCCTGTATTCGCTGGTTAACTGGTCGTCATTAACTTCACACAGACTCTCTCACTGGTACATTTTCATCATCAAATCACTTCTTGGTCTGCTACCTTCATACATCTCCTCTTACATGCCTCTGCGTGAGTGCAGCTACAGCATGCGCTTTCAGGACATTATTACATGCAGTGCTCCCTCAGTGTGGGCTTAACTAGGCAAAAGGGCCTTCTCCTACTCCGCTCCTGTTTCCAGGAATACCTTGGAAAAATATCTGAAGCTCTCGACCTTGATCTCTCTAAGTGGCTTCAAACAACTGCTAAGTTCCTGGCAAAAACTAATAGACATGTTCCTGTTTTTAGTTTTCTACATTGCGTTACATTGTAGCTGTTTTGTTTCATTTTTTAATATAAATTTCTTGCAATTATTTTTCTCAATTTATATGCTTTCTTTTGTGATCGTCTACTGTCGTCATCATTCTTTGATAAAAACAGGTCTCTCTTGTAAATGAGTCCTCGACGCTTAATGAGACTAACCTGTATTAAAAAAAGTTGAATGAAAAATGAAGGTGCAGTCTGCAGACCTCCAGCAATTGCTGGCCATTGTCGTTAATCTTGCCTACGCTAAAGCATCCAATGCATGAGAGCCTGGACTCTTTGTCAGAGCCAACTCTTGCGTTGAAGTCGCCCAGGAGGATAATCTGTCCTGTAAAGTCTGTCCAGTGGTTCATGAGATCTGATCTGCACACAGACAGTTGACTTCAAAAGTTCATGTTCAAGTTTTAAGCAATTAGAAAGTTCTCTACCACACCAGATTTAAGCTCGGTGCATGCAGAACCAAATTATAGCCATTGGTGTTTGTTAGGATCCATTAGCTGTGGATAATAATCTGCTCCAAGAGTTAATTGCCGGTAGTTGTAAATGTACATCAGTAAAAT